ATAAAGCTGGCAGAGATGCATCGTTTCAGGCACTAACACATTTACCTTGAAGTTAATTGATTTCCAACACACAACAGAATAAAAGAGGTTAAATATCAATTTAAAGGTGTCTCTAATTACATTTTTTTGGGTGGATATGATGCATATCTCTCTAAAAATTGCACATTAAGAATGGTTTTGCAGACTGCAATAAAAAATTGTTCTGCCGTGTTCCTTATAGAAACTTCCACCCCAGGTCCCTCCGGTCAAGTGGATGGAGAGCCACAAAGGGCTTTTCAACCTTGAGGTCCAAGCTGTGTCGTCTGTTCACCCTCAAGTAAATACAAATTTCAAAGTTTTACTTGTTTCACAGACCAGACAGATCATCTTCAATTCCAACCTGTTTTTGCTTTCTAATGCGCCTTTCTGCGTCGTTTTTCTATGGCTTCTCTGAAACAATCATCCCTTTACTGCACCAGGACAATCACTTGGAGCGTTTCTTCACCCTGTGTCATGCGCTGGAAGGTGGAACTACATTCCCCGTGCGGATCAAGGACGAGAAGATTCCCGAGAACAAACTGGAGCACGAGCTGAAGCTCAGCATCATATCTCTGCCCTCCTCTAATTTAGAGCCTCTGGTGCTCTTCCTCCACCGGGTACTGGATAAACTTTTCACCCTCATCATGCAGCCCATGGTCATAGCTGGCCAAACTGGTGAGATGTCACTTAAAACAAGATGTTTCTCATATTTTAGACAAAATTGTTTCATCTTTTTACTTGTTATTTCTGATTTTAAACTTCTAACCATATCTATGTGCGTATTTGTGCACATGTCTCCCTTTTTTTTTTTTTTTTTTAGCCAATCTGGCCCAGATAGCCTTTGAATCGGTGGTGTCTATTGTCAACAGTCTTCATAACAGCCAGGAACTATTCAGGGACCAGCTGGGAAGAAATATCCTCTTAGCAACCTACCTTTACTGGGTCTTTCGTCTTCCTGATCCCCCCCGAGACGTGCAGAATGCCGGTAATGTCCTCATCATTTCAGTCACTGAAGTGTATTTGCTGCCAAAATCTCCAGATTTGTGATTTCTATGGGGGTGTTTTGGGGGCTCTTGCCCTCAGGTCCAGCAGGTTCAGCTCCATCATCAGACAGCCGTTACATGACCATAGGTCCGTCTACGGCCGCCAGAGTCGGCAGCATGCTCCTCCAGTCCCGGATCCGCAGCAGCAGCAACCCCGACATCCCTGCTCAGCAAGCTTCAGATGAAGATGCAGAGATCAAAGACATTCTCTCTGCAAAGGTATTGATTAATTTGACCAAACCAAATGGAATTTGAAGTGTTAAGTGTTGGCTTCAGAGGCGCATCAAGCCCACACATCATTATCTGGCCATTTTCGCTTACACAGCAACACTAGTTTATCTAAACTTTTAACTCTGAAGAAAAATGATAAATAACACTCACATTGCGACATTAATATTCTTGGTAATCCCTGACGTAAAACGGCACCGGTTCAGACTGATTTAATGCGAAACAGGTGGACAAAAAAAAAAAATAAAAAATCTTATGTATGTTTTACAAAGTGTATGTAAATATCTGGTTCTATCTGTAAACGCCCCAACTTTTCCGTTTATACAGAATTTACTCTTCAGCCCCTCTGTGTGTGTTAGGTATTGTACTAGGCCACCACTTAGCCAGTCTAATGAAAACATCCATCATAGTTTGATGGAACATTTTGTCTGCAGGGCCTCAACTACCCGGGCAGCCGCGTGTCCACCTATGTGGAAACCAGCAACTACCAGAACTCTGCAGGAAGCACAAGGCCGTCCAACAGAAAGGTACCGACTGAAAAGAACAGAAAGGCTGCAAAGCATAAAATCTAGTGTGATGTACATGTTCGTTTCTTATTCGGTTGGTTTGTTGTTTGGAAAATTAGCAGAAGAGAGAATTGTTTATGGGGAAAATAGAATAAGGATAGGATACCATAAAGAGAGATCAGCTACTGGTCATCTGAGGACTCATTTCTTCTTCTTGCTGTGCGTTACTACCTTCAACAACTATGTGGTAATTAAAATATGACCTCATTCTTTGTTGGACAAGAGGACTTGCTCTTTTAGGAAATGGCAGATTTAAGTTATAATCTTTACACATACAGAGGAAAGGTGTGGGAAAAACAAATCAAACACCTGCAGTCTGGAAAATTCCCCATCCATTATCCTCTATTAGCCACAAGGTGGGAGTGTAACATTGAGGACATTGTGTTCGGTCAGAGTTCAGTCAACACTGTGGATGCACTATTTTTCACTACATTTCATTTTCTCTATTACAGCAATTTCACGAGGAGCTGGCTCTGCAGATGGTCGTCAGCACTGGCGTCTGCAGAGAAAACGCTTACAAATATGCCTGGTTCTTCTTTGAGCTGTTGGTCAGTGTCACATTTTTTTAATATTTTTTACGGCTCCGTGTTTGAGTTTAACTCGCGAGGCAAAAAGTTAAATAAACGTATGACTTTAAATATTGGTAATAAATGGGGTAAAAAAATCCAAAGGATTCAAATTAAACATTTACATCACTGTTGATACAGACAGTGGCCGTTTGGACATTTTTGCTGTACGCATGGGATTGCACAGCCTGGGAGGGGTGGGGGGGCATGGAGCAAAGGAAAAAGGAAAAGAAATATACTTTGTGTAGAATAGAGTTTTGTATTGCTAATACACATGCCCAACAAATTCTAATGGCAAAGAGAAGAAAATACTCCAGAACACCACAGGTGGCTAAGTAACATTGAAATTGGTGTAAAACATGCAGGTTAAAATTCAGAACCAAACTATTGTTTGTTTTAAGGAGTCTACAATGTTCTCTAGCTCAAAATGTTCAGACCTAAACTTATGTATTTTATTTGTAAGAAATTCTTAAAGCAAGATTTAAGATTTGTCAACCCTTTTTTGTAAAAAAAACCCCCACAAAAGATAATTTTTCAAACTTGAGCTGTATTTTCTATTGCTGGCTACACATGATATAGAAGTCAGTGTATAGGTGAAACCACAAATATACACTATAGTTTATTACATGTATTGTTAAAATATGTATATGATATTGTAGATAATATAATATAAATAGGGCAACATTTTTGCTGGATTTGCCTCTGATAACAGGAGAGTTTAAAGGCTGCTCTTTATAAAATTTTAAATTCCTCCCCCCTCCATGTTTTCCTGATGTGTGATTCCTGTTTGTTTCCTGTGTGGCTTGTGTAAACAGGTGAAAAGCATGGCTCAGCATGTGTCTCAGCTCGACAGGTACACTGTCCCCCGAAGGAGCCGCTTCTCTGACAGATTCAAAGACGACGTCACCACCATCGTCTCTGTGGTCACAGCGGAGATTTGCACAATCCTCGTCAAACAACAAAAGGTGACAAAATATGAAGACGTTTCATCAGCTGAGCCAACAACAAGCAGATTTCCCTCAACTCGAATCCCAAAGCTGTTTAATAGAGCTTCTGATCTCTTGAGCTGGGCTGTTTGAGTGTTCATCTTCTCTGTGTCCTCCAAACAACAGGGAGCTGGAAGTGCTAATTAAATTTGTCTCTGTGGTAACAAAAGCTTGGCTTGCTCAGCTAGATGCTTGTCGAGATCCGGTCAGTGCAGCTTACTGATTGCTGTTTGTTGACTGTTGTTTCAGGAGGTAGAGCAAGCAGAGAAAATCAACATCAGTCTGGCCTTCTTCCTCTACGACCTGCTGTCCCTCATGGACCGAGGGTTTGTTTTCCAGCTTGTGAGAAACTACTGCAACCAGGTGAAGTCGCACTCGGACGCAAGCGGAAGCATCGTTTTAGATTTAATATATACAATTTTGTATAAAATAACGTGCCTTGAAGATATTGATCATTTCTCTCTCTCTCTTTTTTTTTTTTTTTCACTTGTAGATGTCTGCTAAGAGCGTTTCAATGCCAACTTTGATCAGCATGCGTCTGGAGTTCCTGCGAATCCTCTGCAGCCATGAGCACTACCTCAACCTGAGCCTCTTCTTCAGCAACCCAGCTTCTGCGCCTGCCTCTCCGTGTCCGTCCATTTCTTCACAGGTGTGTCCAAGGCCATTGAATTTAGGGCCGTTTTAAAGCTAAGCACGTATCTCGGCATAACACATCGTGGCTGTAAATGCAATGTAACAAAGTTGCAGACTACTTTATCTGACTCTTTCCCTTTCATTTCATTGTTGTTTTTTTTTTTCATTCAGAGTTCTGGCTCCTACCAGGAACAGCAGAGGATCTTGGCGTTGTTTGATCTGTCTCAGGAATTCAAGCAACAGCATTACCTCACCGGTCTGCTCTTAACGGAACTTAGCGCGGCACTTGACATGGAGTCAGAAGGGTAGGGAGGAACTCTGTCAAATTGTTTCCAATTGTTTTTATGCTACTTTCAGATTTTTTTTTTAATGTTTTGTATTCTGTACCTTCATCAAATGAGGAAAGGTTTCACTTTTTGTCACAGTAAAACAAAAAACTCCTGGATTTCAAATGATTGTCCAGGACTGGGTAGTGCATTCTGACGACCAAATGAAATGTAAACCTTTTTGTCTATAGCCCAGTGTGGCAGAAAAACTAACATGGGAAACTCCTTAAAGACCAGATTCCCAGGATGAAACATGGTGGTGGCATCATTATGGTGTGGGGAATTCTTGGAGAAAAGCTACTAGATGTTGCAAAACGCTTCCAGCAGGACAGTGATCCTAAATACAAACAGAGCTACAGTTGAACGGTTTAGTTAACGCATATTGTATTAAGTGGCCCAGTCAAAGTCAAGACTTCACTTTAGTCAAGAATTTGTGGATAAACTTGAGACTGAGTGTTTACTCTTTTCTCTTCTGGCTGAGCCTGAGCTGTTTTTGCAGAAATAATTCTGAGAAAAGTTCCACTAACTAGATATGTAAATCTGGTTCAGATGCACCCCAAATTACTTTTAACCATAATTGTTGCAATGGATAATTTTACCAGAATGCTGATAACAAATGCATGCCACACTTTTCAGATTTTTGTCTGCAAAAAGTTGTAAACCACCACTATCTTTCGAAATTGTTTGTGAAGGTCTATCATAAAATATGCTTTTTGTGTTTGTGAGGAATATGAGAAAATGTGAAAAACAGTCAAGGAGTGTATTCAGTCATACTGATTGACCTTTTTTTTTTTCTTCTTTTTGCAGGGGAAAGGTTCAAAGAAAGGCGATCAATGCAATTTACAGCTTGCTGTGTTCCCATGATCTGGATGATCGTTGTGTTAAAACTGATGTCAGAGCCAAGGTGTCTGCTCTCTACCTCCCCCTGGTGGGGATTATTATAGAGTCGACCAACTACCTGGATTTCACAGGTATGTGGAAAAGTATCACATCATGAATCGATGACAGTTTTTTTCAGTATTTGGGATTTTAAAAAAAACAATAAAATACTCAAAGTGTTGGTGATGAAGATACTGTGGAATCTGCCATTAATGAGGTTTAACAAGGTGAAAGGTTAATGCCTTTAATCATCAATTAGCCACAATGAAATAACTTTATTTTTCAAAATGCCTGCGATCATCCATCTTTCTTCACACTGACATAAATGTGTTAATGCCGGACTCTATTGTCTGCCTTACGTCTACTTAAGACACGGCAGTGCTGAACTTACAGCTGTAACTCCTCTCTGCTTCACTTAAATTTGCCCGGCTCCTGTTTGTCTCATTCAGTTTGTGACACGCGCGCCGGCAAGAACAAGACCGGCGAATCCGAGGATGACCTTGAAAATGTGCCGCCTATCAATCAGTCTGTTGCCATGGCGATTGCCGGGAATCCCTTCAACACGTTGGGGCGTAACGTTCTCATCTCCATGGCATCCCTGGTAAAGTTTATGCTCCCAATTGGAATGACGATTGTAGAGTTTTAAATGGCTTTATAAACTTTTGGTGAGTGTTTTGCTTCCCAACAGGTGAGCTGGGCAGATGCTGATTGATTAGCTGTCAGAGCCACACATGCACTTCATCCATCCTGCAAAAAAAAGAAAAAAAAAAAACCCTAACTCATTCACATAAACACGCACATCTGTGGAAGATGGTTTATGGCCAGGCATTGCCGACATAAGTGAACAGGGCCGTCCTCCTTGACAAACACATCCATCAAGCTGTGGCTGCAACGACAGCAGCACAGGCACCAAAACTGAGCACCGCCATTCTCTTCCACTCCAGAACATGAATCAGTTCCCTCCATGTGTTACGAGAAATGCTGTTGCGGAAAGAGCGGTTTTCACGTGAACAAGCCCTCGGCCTGGTAGTTGTCGGAAACCAGAGGAGCAGCAGCAGCCAGAGCGCCGGTTCCTCACGTTCAGGCAGCATGCCTTCAAACAGAATATGCATGAATCATTTAGCCGCTGCAGGAGAATTGGTAATACGCACATTCAGATAAACAGTGACACGTTTTTGCTTACATGCGATGGTGTTCAGTGTCGGTTCTGGAGAGCATTGGCTCAGTTCAGCTCCGGACAAAGAGACTTGAGTAACCGGGTTGTAGGTGGGACACATAGGGCAGTGGGAGCTTAATGCCTACATTTATCAAAACTGCCACACAATGAAGCAGCAGTAGTCATCCACAGCAGTGATTCATCATCACACGAATGAAGCTAAATTAATCTGCAGGAGATTAAAGGCCTGTTGAGATGAGGAGGAGCCATACTTCTCTGAAGCCAGAGTGAAAGAGCTGACCAATCACTTCACAATGGGGTTTAAGGAAGCTTGTGAATGATATACTATTAGATGCACTTATTGATGTACCTCAGCTTGACCCCTTTGAAAGAGGAGTGTGGCATGATTTTGAGTCGGGTTACCTATAAAAGGGGTGCCAAAAGATGCATGCATAGACTTGTATCTCATAAAGCATCCAAATGGGGGATCAGAACCAGAATAAATGTGAGTGCTACTTAAAAATGTTTCAGATGATAATACATCAACTTTGTCTTGAATTCAATTCATTCAGCATTTTAAGAAACATAAGTTTTGTAAATTCTTAAATGCTACAGAAGTTAGCATGTTATAACATTTTTCTTACATGTGTATAAAGTGGTTTGCTTGCAGATCTGAAATGAAAGACAATAAAAATATGCAGGTACAAAATGGTCTTATGAATTGACAAAGGTGCGATTTGACCCGGAGGCTAACCAGACGCTTTGTCCACTGTGTTTGTTTTGAAAGTGTAGCTCAGACAGAACCAACCAATGACCCAAGCTGAACTCGGGTTTATGCACACACGTGCTGCTGCAGACTCCAGCCTGGGGACTCTTCAGACATATAAATACGTTATAAATCAAACTTACGTTTTCCCTTATTTTGTATATAATATAATTTGTATCCGTCTGTCTTCATGTGTTCCCAGCAAGGTAAATCTGTTGCCACCCTGGCTGCAGACACCAGTCGCCACCTGCTAGTTTGTTTCCTCTGGGTGATGAAGAATGCTGATAGAAACCTTATCCAGCGCTGGACCGTGGATATGCCTCCTTCACAACTCAATAAACTGCTGGAGCTCCTCACTATATGTGTATCTTGCTTTGAGTACAGGGTCAGTTCTGGGGCTTTTTGTTTCTTAATGGCGCAGCTGGAACAATTTTCCTTTACCTTTTTTTTTTTTTTAAAGGATAAAATGAGCTTACTCTAGTTGTATTTTTCGAATTTCTTGTCTGCATTTACATATTTTTATTTTATTACAAAATATTCAAATTGTATGAGTTGTGCTTTCAAACTGGTGATTTTGTTTTTAATGTGCGTCTGCAGGGTAAGCAGAGCAGTGACAAAGTGAGCACACAGGCCTTACAGAAATCTCAGCAGGCCAAGCTGCAGCTAGAAGAAGCCCTGCTGAGAGGAATGGGAGCCCGTGGAGAAATGATGAAACGGGTTGGAGGTAACACGTTTGTTGTTGTGTATTTTATTTATGTTTTTTTTTATTTTAAGGAATGCAACTTTTCTTTGATGTCTTGTCATTAAACAAAAAAAAAAAATCTGCAGAACAAAGCTTAAACAATTTTCACATAAACTCTCTTCAGCATGAAGGTTTAAGCATTTTTTTTTTCCAATTAATGAATTCTCAACTAGTTTTTTTAACTTAAGATAGGCCAGTGTAGGTTTGCAGTAAATATGCATCTTGCATACAGGGACAGGTTCATATACTGAATAAAAAGCATAGGTAAGTTTGTTTGACAGTCTTCTTACTTTCTTTTCCCGTTTATTCATAACTTCCGTTTGAAATCTTGACAGGAACGGACAGAACTGTGGGTCAGAGAGAGAACCTGCGCTGGAGGAAAGACCTCACTCAGTGGAGACAAACAAACGATCGGCAGGATAAGTAAGATTACCATCCGTGACTTCTGGTTTTACTCTAATTATCAACCCCTATTTCCTACAGTCAATATGCCCTTTTTTTTCCTTTTTTTTTGTGTGTGTGTGTGTAACCTTTGTGTCGTCGCCTTTCAGAACAAAAGCAGAGTTGGACCAGGAGGCTCTCATCAGTGGGAATTTAGCCACAGAGGCTAATCTTATAGTCCTGGACCTTTTAGAGACCATAATACAGGTTGGAAAATGATCTTTTCATAGTCACATTAGGACTGTCACTCAGCTCACTGAAGTAACACAATTTACGGCAAATTACTTCAAATACAGATTCAAAGAAATTAAGAGAAACAGAATTATAAAAAGAAACATTGAACTGGCATGAAAACAAGGAAACAAGTCGTACAATTGCTGATCTAAAGGCTTTTAAAATGAAAGGCAGCTTTTCCAAACCAAATAAATTATGGTTAAGATTTTCTATAATTATATGTAATTATTACACTTGTAAGTCTTTTTTGCCAGTTTTTTAGCTCCAGTGATGGCATGGAAATGTTTTTTGGTGTGGGTGTCATCTCTTCCCTAATTTATTTCATAGCGTCTTCACAAACCTCAAAATCAACATTTGGATAAAACCTTCCTACTTGCTAATGTGGAATAATTTTGGCAAAAAGGTTCACAGCAATTTGCTTGGATTCAATCCCATTTTGTCCCTTTTCCCTTATTCTTAATATTGACTGGATGTGTTTGTGCTGTAAGGAAACCTCTATTAGCTGAAGCTTTCTAGCCCTTAGAAATGTGGCAGGAGCCAGACTTTCAAATACTGTCACAAACATATAAAAAAAAGTAATTCGAAAAGTATTTTTCCATTTTTATTTAGGAATTAATTTCTTGTGCCCTGCAAGTACTTTACAACTTTACAAATTTAGCCTACGTTGCGAAAAGTTTTTAACACCACCGGTCTACACTCACCTGGAATTTTACCACAATATTAATTCTTTATACAAAACAAAGTACAACATTTTAAAGTATAGGCCCACGTTTTTGTTGCACTGGCGGAGATGAAAATTGTATGTTCAGTCTGATCATGGTGAGCTTTTCGAAGATGATGCCAAAGTACAAGGAAAACCTCAAGGTAAATCAGGGTGAACCATCAGTTATTCCAAATAATAATAGATAACAGTGCAATTGTCTCACCAGATGTTTTAATCTCAGTTTGACATAGTCGGTTTGCTGTGTTGTGTCCTCTCGGTGTTTATTTACCGGGTTCCACCCGCAGGTGTTTCTATCTGCATTTAATGCCTAATTTCTCCATCTGCTCTGTGTGCAGGCGGTGCCGTTAAATGAGTGTAAAGACAGCGTTGTTGGCGGCGTGTTGAAGGTGTTACTCCATTCTCTCACCTGCAACCAGAGCACCACTTTCCTCCGTCACACCTTCAGCACACTGAGAGCACTTGTCGTCAAGGTAGTTGCATTATCATAATCGTGTGTGTGTGTGTGTGTGTGTGTCTGCTTTTCTGAAAAGGATGCCGCGTGTGTGTGGGTTGGTGTCATTACACAAACATTATCTGAGTCTAAATTAGATGTTCTTATTTGTTTGTGTGGGTGTCAGACCGCTGATGTAAGCTAGAATTATAGACGTATGTAAGCACACCGCCTTGTAGAGCACACCTGATGGTTTGCTTGCGTGCAGTTCGGAGACCTGTTGTTCGAGGAGGAGGCGGAGCAGTGCGCAGATCTGTGCCAGAAGGTGCTTCAGTACTGCAGCAGCCCTGTTGACGAGAACAGGAGCCAGGCATGTGCCACGCTCTATCTCATCATGAGATACAGCTACAGTAATGCCAGCGTAAGTTAATACACACACACACACACACACACACACACACACACACACACACACAACAGAACATCTCCTTAAGCTTTGTAAAAATCCTGCTTTAAAAGTATCCCTGTGCAAAGGTGAATTCATAGTCTGTGAAGTAAATTTTCAGCCTTTCGAATGTTTTCATACCTCTTTATTTATTTTTTTTTACATCTGATACCTCAGCATTTTTTACTCATATTTCATTTGATAAGCTAACATAAATTAACTTGTAATTGTGAAGTGGAAGAGAAATTTTGTATTTTTTAAATACATTTTAGCAAATCAAAATCTAAAAAGTGTGGAATGCTTTGGAATTAACCCCTATAAACATGCCTACCTGTCTGTGCCACCACCATGTTGTTTTACCACAGTGATGGTGTGTTCATAGTGGTGTTATAATTTACTTATGAAACAAAGCTCTGTTCAGGCCTCCACTGACCAGAGCCACTTCTTCCATATGCTTGCTGCATCCCCTGCATAGCTTGTGGAAAGGTGCCATTTCTTATTTCTTTTACTCAACAATTTGTCCATCTCCAGTTTGCCCTACCTGAGCTGTGGACCTCTGCAGCTCCTCCAGAATTACCGTGAACTTTGTGACTGCTTCTTTCATTCTATTCTTTCTTTGTTAGATCTGTTTAGATTGGGTGTCTGCAACCTTTGCAATCCCAAAAGTATTTATTGATATCTCTTTAAAAACTATTTATTTACCTGTATTTTCTTTTTATCAGACTAAAGAAACAAAAAACCTCAAGCTTTAACAAAATGGTAATGAATACATTTCCACTATTAAATATTTGTGTAAATTACATCAACTAAGTTGTGACCAAAGGACAAATATTTTCTGCACTTAGTCGTTCTGTTGTGTAAATTGCAAAAATCACATGAAAAGACTCCGAGGGTTAGAATTTCTAGCACCTCATTCCTTAGCTCTTTAAAATGTTTGGCCAAAGGTGCCAAGTGGCTTAGAGATGGAGCAGACACGCAGTATATGGAGGCTATAGTTCTCGATGCAGCTGTCCCTGGGTTTATTCCAGAGCCCCAGTTATTTACTGCATATATCCCCTCTTCCCCCTCTGCTCTTCTTCCTGTCAAGCGATTCATGAATAAAGCCCACTAGTGCCACAAATTCTTAAAAAAAGAAATTAGACAGACATTAATTAAAGCAAGTGCTAAGGGCCCAAAGAGTCACCTGTGGCTGTGCAGCAGGAGGCTGCAGACTCGTGTTTTAAAGTGTAGAAACATAAATTACAGAGCCGTAAACAAATTAAATTTTATGACACCAGATTCTATTAACTTGTCCCTCCGATAACTTCTCAAATGTTTTAAGGCCACCACAACACTTTGTGTAGGTGCTTTTCCTTCTACTTCACAATTATACTCCAAGTTGTGTTGGTCTAAAACCTCACATCCCAGTAATACACATAGAAGTTTGTGGTTGTAATGTCACAAGTACTCTTTGCAAGGCATTGTAAATTTTGTGCCAGTGAGAATTCAGAATGGCTCCCTGGTTCAGACCCACTGAAGCAACGAGTCACTCAGATCTTTATCCTATCTGCTCTTCCTCTCTGCTCAGCTTTAATGTCTTTTCCATGTCTATTTTGAGCGTGCAGGAGAAAGTTCCTGGTGAAGGATGTGTCTCTAAGTAGAGAGCAGAGAGATATGTTACTGTCTGTCTCCCTATGTTCTTACCCCTCTTTAACTAATGACACCCCTTCTTGTGTGTGTGCGCGCGTGTTTCGGTATATATGCGTGTGTGTACGCGTTTGTGCCACATGGGGAAGGAAGAGAAGGAATTTCAAAGGGCCCGGAGAGAAGAAAATCTTGATGAAGATAGAGGAGTGTTTGTAACAGAAGTGAAGCAGCAATAGTGGGAAATGAAAAAGACAGATCTAAATGGAGTCGCGAGCACAAGACGGAGTATCTTCTTTCATTTTCTTCACCGGTTCGATAACTGCTGCTGCAGTCGATATTTCCTGTGTTTACAATCTGTTCACTTTAATCAAAGTCAGGCGCCTGTCTATGGAACACGCTTACACGCACATACATACAGTATCTCCACTTTCTAGGGAGTCTTGCCCCTCTTCGTGTCCCTGTTTATGTTTGTTTATACAGCGTATACAGAAGGAGCTGTGATCTGAATTAGCGTAGCAGCCAAATGAGTCATCCATACAATGTTTACCGTCTACCTCTTTCTTTGTTTATGGTCTGATCCTGTTTTCCACCCACATTTTGCTCTCCATCTGTCACAGACGCCTATTTTTTCATCTCATATTTACCCTTCTTTGTTTAATTTTGGATTATAACAATAAAATGAGAAAATACCAGGAAGAACACATCCAGTTCCAGTTCTCGAAAAGTGAGAATAATAGCCAGAAGTTGGAGGGAAGAGGGCCAGATGAAGCTAAAAATGAAAATAAAAAAGAATGACAAAGTGGTTTTATGTGTTGACTTAAACTGTCGTTAAGTCCGTATTGTAGGGCAAACACACACATGCACACACACTGAGTTAGAGGGCAGTGATGAGTGGTGAGCCCCTGGCTCCATGCTCAGTTGAACAGAATGGGGCCGTAGAGATGATCCATGGGTGATTATGTCTCTGCTAATGGGAGATCATTTCCCGCTTAGCCAGTCATGCTGGAGATGGATGGGACATCTCGCAAGCACGGGCACCGTCTCTTTCGCACATTTGCTCAGAAGATGGAAGGGTGTTTGTCAGGCTCTTGTTCTTGGCCAGGTAGTGTGAAAGAGGAGGAGACGAGAAAAGAGAAGGGGGGAAAAAAACAAACGGGTATTTGTTCTTCCTGTTTTAAATGGGTTTAGTTCATGACTGGCTGTTGTTTCAGTCATTTATTTACAATTAAGTTAATTGTAAGCAGATATAGATTTGAAATTATTTCCATTCAGCCAAGAAGTTTGTTTAATGTAGAAGATTAAACAGACGCCTCTCAAAAAATAATTGAACAGTCTTAACTGGATTTTTGAACAAAATTATAAATAAATTACATGATATTTTACCCTCTTCAGTAATCAAAGGAATAATTCTATATTGTCATCACACCAATGAAACCCTCGTTAATTCTTTACCAGTTTTCGACATGCTGTCACTGGTATTTTGACAATTCATCTTTGGCGATGAGCTCCAGTTTCCTGAGGTTGAAAGGCCCCCTTGCCATCATTTCAGAGTTTTGCTGCCATTGATTAGGATGTTTTGAAATGACAGCTTAGTGGTGATTAAAGTTGATGTTTTTCTTGTTTCCTCTTTAGTTTGGATCTATTGGTGATCCATTTCTTTGAATCCGATTCAGTAAATTTATTTCTAATAAATCGGCTGTTTTCAGATTTGGTTGGATCTTCGCTTTTATTCATTCATTTATTATTGCTCATTATTTACATAGTGCAGACTTTTATTCTTCACATGAAAGTGAAGTTAAAAAGCACCTAATTCTATCAATATTCTTTGTGAATCCGTGGATAATCCACATTGTATGGTTAATTGTTGTGTGTTTTGCGTTCTTCTCAGAACTTTTCAAGGGTGAAGATGCAGGTCACCATGTCACTGGCCTCACTGGTGGGCAAATCATCAGACTTCGAGGAGGAATATCTAAGGCGCTCCCTCCGCACCATCCTGGCTTATGCAGAGGAGGATGCCGAGATGCAGAACACCCAGCTGCCCTCACAGGTGAAGGCTTAAACACAGTCAGAAACCACGAGCAATCCTGATTAAATGTTCTAAAAAGCATGATCTTACTCGTATCTGGATGCTCAGGTGGATGAGCTATTAAGAAACCTCAACAGCATCTTGTCAGACACTGTGAAGATGAGGGAGTTTCAGGAGGATCCAGAAATGCTTATGGATCTTATGTATAGGTAAGAATGAAAAAGAGCCTGATGTAGAAAGAGGTGCCTCCTTCTTTCAGTCTGCCTCTCTACATCATCTTTTTTTTTAAACTTTGCTTATCATTCTCTTTGTTCTTCCAAATCCCTCAGTGCTGGTTCTTATTTCTCTGTGGTCTGCGTTGTTTAGCCCCTATTTGCTGTCTTCACTATGGTAACCATGTGGTAGCAGTTTAGTCCTCTGATCTGGTTTTGTGTATATGCAAAACTAAACAGCGTGCGTATAAATGCGAGAGTGCTTGTGTGCATTTGAGAAGGAGCAAGTGGGGGATGCATCGAAACAAAGAGAGCATACATGTGCTACTGTTGATTCTGGCACCCTACCTCGTTGTGACTCAGTGATGTATCGTGTCTTATTTGTCATGCAACTCTCTGTTCAGGCTTTGCTGGTCACCTGGTGAGTGGCCTGCAGGAGGACCTTCACCTACTAATTTTTTTTTTACATGCACCTAAACATGCATCTCTGTGCACTTAAAGTAGATGATTGACAAACATTTGAGATGCAGAATACATTTTTACTTGTAGTGCAGTGATTCACTGCACTACAAGTGCAAATTTTTTTTAATTTATATATATATATATATATATATATATATATATATATATATATATATATATATATATAAATAATGAGTCATTTCAGATTCAGAAAATATTTTTTTATTTTTCTTGATACCACTTCACTATAGTAGCTGAATTTTATGTTATAGCTCCCACGCTGGTCCACATTTTGCTCCAGTATTATCAGTAAGCCTAACATTTACTCATATTTTCTACATTTTATTTGGAAGACATTTGATTTATTTCTGTTTTTTTCTTTACTGTATGTGTAGTGGAGCTGTGTCATACTCTTTATGTTTTCATATGAGGATTTGAGCTGTGAGATATTTAAGATGTTTATTATTTTAAACTAAACAGCTGTGAACATCATTTTGGTCCATCTCCTAAAATCACAATAAAACCCTTGAAGTTTGGGATTTTAATCTGATGAATTGGGGGGGGGGAAGCTTAAGCGGTTCAAATATTTTGCAATGTACTGTAAATGTGCTTCGTACTGCATATACAAAATGTTCCCACTCAGTGCTCTTGTTTGTGCTGCAAAAGTTTTTTTTTTTTTTTTCTCAGTTGAGTTGCTCTCAAGGCAGATTTTAATCTTAATTAGACTTGTAAGCGATTAAATAAAGGGTAAAAAGGAGGGAAAACTTATGCTCTTTTTCTCTTTACCCTCCAGGATAGCAAAGGGCTACCAGACGTCTCCTGACCTCCGTTTGACCTGGCTGCAGAACATGGCAGAGAAGCACAACAACAGGAAGTGTTATACCGAGTCAGCCATGTGCCTGGTCCATGCTGCTGCTCTGGTGGCCGAGTACCTCAGCATGTTGGAGGATCACAAATACCTTCCTGTTGGAAGTGTCACCTTTCAGGTATAACAAATAACATTAACCCAACAATGAGACATCCTGATCAAGACTTTATTGACACCTGCCCACGTCATTTTGGTTAGACATTTGCCAAGTTGGTCAAATTAATGCCTTGAAGCGCTTAAGGGGGAAAAAGGGAAGTTGTACGCTTCTACCATCAAGGCAAGGTCCACTGAAATGTTTTTGTCTTAAAAAATGAGGGAGGACAAAAAGCCCCAAAGTATGCTCATTTTGCAGCCAGCTGACCTAAAGCGAAAACAAATGGAAAATAAACGGCTACAATGGTTCCAAAAATGATGGCTCCATTAATGAGGCGTTTCTCATACAAGACCTCTGTAGCACCCTAATAGCACAGGACACTGAATTCTATATCAGTCAGCAGTTCATTGATTGGATGATAATCCAGATGGTTCCCTCTCGCCGCAGCAGGACACATCCTTTTAAGCCACTTGATTGATTATTTGATTAAGTGGGCTAACTAATTGATTCGGCGACTGATTTTTGTTTTTCGTCACAGAACATTTCCCCCAATGTGCTTGAGGAGTCAGCTGTGTCCGATGACATCCTGTCCCCGGACGAGGATGGCGTGTGCTCGGGACGGTACTTCACGGAGAGCGGCTTGGTGGGATTGCTCGAACAGGCTGCTGAGCTTTTCAGCAATGTAAGACATTAAAGATATAGCAATGCGAAATATGTACCGCCATCTGATATCATTGTAAAGATTACTGTAATTCTTCACAATTTTGAAAATATCTGGTTACATGTGTTCGAAGTGAAATGCAAATATTGATGCTGTTAATTTTATTTGGCAGCTCTTACAATTAATTTTATTTTACTAACATATCATCATCTCAGCCTTTAATCTGAGAAAAAAATTGTGAGGACATTGTGAGGATATTTCAAAACATCTTTTAAAATATAAAAAAATAAGTGCATGCTATTTTTTTTTAGGGTAATTGTAGTTAATGGGAACTTTTCATGAATAATTCACCACTTCCTGTTATTTTTTTCTATTTGCCAATCTGATAGATGAGGAACCTTTATTATTCTGCCTCTATTTGCACTGAGATCGGACCAGTGATTGAACTGCATCACATAGTAGTGTTATGGGGTTTAGAGTTACCAAGTCTCCATAACAACCATCATAAACCAACTAATAAATAAACAAATAAACATTACAATGTGACGAAACAACCGTTTCACAACTGTTTCATTAAACAGTTGTGTGTGAGGGAAACTTGGAGTTTGTTGAACTCTGTTGTGACTTGAACTGGAACCATGTGCATTGATAAGAACAAGTCTTTTGGAATGTAGTTCCCCAATAAACATGCAACCAAAGAACCACCATTGTGGGGTCAAGAGGAAAGCATTTAGATCGTGGAAGGAAAGGATGATCTGAAAGGGTCTTAAGATTGAGCTTTTCAGCACCAAACACTCAGGGGATCAGATGCAGCCTTGTTTCTATTCAAAAGGGATACTTTAAATCAAAATCTAGTATGCCATAACAGTACACTGAAAAAGGGTCTTCATTGGGTCCTTCAAGAGGATAATTATCCAAGACTTGTAGTCAAATCAACACAAAAATGCAAGTTCAAACTCCTATGGCCTTGTCAGTCCCTAGACCCATATCCTATTGAAAACCTAGAGAGATAACTCTAAGAAGAGTTCCTCATTGAAAGAGGAATCATTGGAAGAATGATTCCTCTTTCTGTGTGATCCAGTCTTGTTAAATGTTCTAAATGAGGGGTGCCAACAACTGAGTCACGTGTGACCTATAAGCTCTTCATAGATATATGGTTCATCTTCATGCTATAATGTATGTTTTTTTTGTTTTTTGCTTTCATTAGGGTAGTCTCTATGAGGCAGTGAATGAAGTGTACAAGATCATCATACCAATCTTGGAGGCTCGAAGAGATTTTAGAAAACTGGCTTCCACACATGACAAGCTTCACAGAGCTTTTGATAACATCATCCAGAAGGTAAAGACTATAATGAAACTTCTAATTTATTCATCTAGGTGATGTTAAACATACAATAGAAAACCTTTGTTTTATGAGGCTGGGAGCCATTTTATTAAAAAAAAAAAAAAAAAAAAGCTTCTCATAATTATGGCTCTCAAAAGGAATCCTCATGTAAAAATAGAATTTGACATAATAAAGAAAACATGGCACACGTGCCATAGCGAGTAAGCTGATTTAAACTCTTCTTGTTTTCCCCGTCAGGGCCACAAGAGGATGTTTGGCACCTATTTCCGTGTGGGTTTTTATGGAGCCAAGTTTGGAGACCTGGATGAACGGGAATTTATTTACAAAGAGCCTGGAATCACGCATCTGCCCGAGATATCACACAGGCTAGAGGTACAAGGGACTGAACTGTATGTGTGTTTTGACTGAAATGAAATGGGAAGATGGTGCCCAGCTGGACTGGTAGAATCCCACAACAGCAGAGGGACTTTGAGTGAACAGCATGAGAGAGTGCAATAACTAGCAATTATCCATCTGTTTTTCGTGAGCCTTTTAGGAGCATGGAAAAATCATTTACATGCTTGTGAGGGGAATTAAGTCCATATAATGTCAGCATCAAGCATTCATCTCACCAGGGAATTGGCTATGCTGTGCTTTAGAATATCCTTCAAACATCAACATGGATTAGCCTGAGATATTCAGTATTTTACAAAGATTTTATTAAGTTAACAAAAACTTTCTCTCTTCTCAGAACTTCTATAGCCAGTGTTTTGGAGATGAGACATTGGTGATGATTAAGGACTCTACACCTGTGGACAGAAAACTGCTCAACCCCAGCAAGGTAGGTCTCTGTACTACTGTAATACACAGCTTTTCCACTGATGTCTGTCAAACATCAGTGAGTCAGTATGAAGTTTAATGGCTGAAACTGACCAACAGATAATAGACACTAAGTGGTGGCACCGCCAAACACTTTTCTGCTTTGTCTTTGTTGTTTTGCTTCTTTCCTTTCCAAAATAAACCAAATTTATTTGCATTTAACTGACAACCCTGTCCTCACTCAATATATTTTTGCAAAGTAAATACAAAGTCCTTGGTGCGTGTGGACTGGGTATCCGGTAAAGTATTCCTTACCCATATGCAGTCCACACAATCTTACTCAATTTAAACTATTCCATCAAGAGTGCATCTTCAGTTTTCAACGAATGTGAGGGGAAAACATCAAAGCAAAGCAAAAACCTGAACTGCACAATGCGCTAAATCTCACTTCTCAAATAAACCACCACTTCTGTCTAGGCGTATATTCAGATCACATACGTGGAACCCTTCTTTGATGACTATGAGATGAAAGACCGTCTAACGAACTTTGAGAAGAACTTCAACCTGAGGCGGTTTATGTACACCACGCCCTTCACCAAGAGTGGACGACCTCGGGGTGAGCTCAACGAGCAGTACAAGAGGAAGACCATCCTCACCACCATGCACGCTTTCCCCTATGTCAAGACACGCATCAATGTCATCCAGAAAGAGGAGGTCAGTTCCATTAATAGTTTCTAACCACTTTCAGCACAAAATGCTACACGTATTTGTCCTGGTCTTTGTGGAATAATGGAAATGCGATTATTACAGCCCTTAATCATAAAAATGTTAAATCAAAAGCTTTTTTGAAACCATGACTGGTTTCAAAAAAGCCCGTCATGGCTTTTTCACACAGTCATGATCAGCATGAATGTGTGAAACTTTATTGCGGCTTCATACCAGAGACCAAGCCATGCATGTTTGGCATTAACACCATTACATCGCAATAATTTCACGTCTTTATCCCTTCTAGTTTGACCTTACTCCTATAGAGGTGGCCATAGAGGACATGCAGAAGAAAACTAGGGAGCTTGCAGTTGCCACACATCGGGAGCAACCCGATGCCAAGATGCTACAGATGCTGCTACAAGGCTCTGTGGGAGCCACTGTTAACCAGGTAAGCAGGGTTTCAGATTTACTTCTGATGTGCTAGCTGGTATTAGACAAATCTGCAGTGCGTTTCAAAATAAAATTATTTTAAACAGCTGTTGGCATCTTAAATCAGGTTTACCATGATGGACATTATTAGTGCGGCTGACGATAATAACTCTAAACACCAGTCTCTGTTTGTAAGAACTCCTAAGATGACTCCTGCTCTGTTTTGTCATACAATGAACATATAGCAAACTAGATCACCTTTATTTCTGTTATTACATTTACAATTTTCATCTTAGTCCAAGTCTTCACGTGAGACAAAAGACAGCGATCACACATCAAAGCTTTCATCCTATCTATAACCTTAATCCTTCCTTTGCTTCCTCTTGATTCAGTTAAAACGTCAATCCATGGACCCTTTCTCCTTTCATGTCTCTGCTGCGTGGCGTGTTGAACCGGAGGGCTCTTTGATCTGATAGCTTCCAGGTTCTGCCAGCATGGCGAATGTTGGAGTAATGACAAAGCAAGCTTCAGCGTCTCCGTTTCCTTTCTCCCCTTACGCTTTATCTTCCAGCGTCTTAATCTGACAGTTTCTCTCGCTCTGACTTGATGGTTGTATACATAACGCTAATGCTCAGCAGCTTGGTAAACATATAACTCCTGGCTGTAATCAGTGCAGGAGGCTGGATTTCTGCATGTGCGTGGACCTGTAGCTCAGACCCAGGACTGAGGCCCAGGCCCAATGCATTTATGATGCTAATCAGAGCTGTTTAACTGTGCCTGTCGTGTTGCGAGCTTAGTGTGAGCGTTCTGTGGTTTTATGATGAATATAAGTTAGGATAACAAGATTTCATGCTGGGGAAATGGCAGCCAAATGGTGGCGGTACGCAGGCTTGGCGGGGACTTTAGCCATTCAGTACGCTAATCATGTCTCCTTCTCTGATCTGATCTCTTCCTCATGCTTTGGTTTAGTGCCTTGTTTCCTAGTTGCATTAGACAATAAGTTCATTTCCCCCCATTTCTAAACGAGAACCATTCTCATCCCTTCTTTTGTTCATATGCTCCCAAGCACTTCCTCTCATTCCTTCCTCTGCCATGTTTTCCTTTCTCTTTCTTCCTCCCTCTCTAACTTTGTCCCTTTGTGTTCTGTTCCTTCCCTCCACTCTCACCCTCTCCGCCCATGCTGCAGGGCCCGCTGGAGGTGGCCCAGGTCTTCCTGAATGAGATCCCGGCAGACCCCAAGCTCTTCCGTCACCACAATAAACTGCGCCTGTGTTTCAAAGAGTTTATAATGAGGTAAGACAGGAGCAAATGACCACCACCTTATGATGCACACCACAGCAGATTCATGCAAAATTGAAAAAGGCAGCATAAACATACTGTACTTAACCACCACCAGTGTGCGACTGACTGAATGTAGTGTGACGTGCTTTGGGCTCCTCTGGACTTGGTACAGGGCTACGCAAGCACAGGTCATTTACCTCATGTAGATGCTTTTTAAGTGAGTGATAGAAGTTCATGAGCCCTTTTTTATTTCACCAGTCGGTCTGTTTAGTGTTTTTGGTTAATGGCAACAGCTGACAAGAATAAAAAAAAGAAAATAATCAAACTTAAAAGAAAGTCTCTTTGTAGAAATGTCAGTATCCCAGGGACTGTTTTCCCAGGTCCCTCTTGAAAATGAGATCTGGATGTCAACGGGGTTTACCTGGTTAAATAAAGGAAATAAAAAAAATATATATATGTTTTTTGGTGACGACTTGAAGAAAGTAAAAATCCTCCCTAGACATTGTGTGGTCTTATTGCTTAAATTATGTTAATGCAGAAGGCTAAGGGTTTTTCTAAATTAAATCAAGTTTTGGTTAAAGAATATAAATTGACAATTAAGTTTTCATCCTGACTTTCAAAATGCAAGTTTAAATTTGGGTCAAAGTGCCAGTCATCTATAATAAAAAGAAAGGCCTTTACTGTAGCAGTAAAATCTCACACTAATGCATTTGAAGCATCATGTCTTTATTAGAGGACAACAGTAAAGGAATTCATTGTTTTTAACCAAATTACCAGTGGAATAATGGTTTCTATCACTACTTGTAATGCTTGGTGCAGTTCCATTTTACCAAATGACATTTGGTAAAAGGTTGGAACATTCGGAGGGAGAGATCTGTGGCCATTCCTCTTTACGGAGTTTTGCAGGGTTTATCCAGAGTCCACTCTTTTTGTTCTTTCTGCTTTTTTTATTATGTTGAAAAACATGTTTTCAGTTTTCATGCAGCACTCACCACGTTTTATTAAAATGTCCTGCTTTTTCAAATAGTCTGTAATACCATAAACTCTGTAACACTTACTGGAACCTTTGAAAGTGAAACGGACTCCTCACATCACAGATCTTCTGTCATACAATGATACTTTTTGCCTCCCTTGCTATGTGATGGCAGAACAAAATGTTTCTCATCCAGCCTTGTTTGTCACAGTTTTGTTTTGCACTTTTGTTTATTTTTATAGTTGCTCCCTGACTTATGAAGGTAGACACTATAGCTGTTCAATATATTGCAAATATATCATCATGGCAACTTCAGTTTGCACAATATTCATATTGCAAAGGATTGTTTAGAGTGCAATATTTGTTGGCTGGTATATTCATCCAACAATATCCTCTTCACATATTGTCTTCATGCTAATGTACTAAATACATTTTCACAGGAACAGATGATCACACTGGACACAAATGATATTTCCCAAAATGCTGAAGGTCAGAGAGTGATGGAAGTATAGAATAGAATGAGGGGAAGGAAGAAAAAACACATCTTGTGATTATCGTCATTGCAGTATTCACCAATATTGTCACAATCGCAAGATTTTCTAAAATTACATATCTTTAGTAGACACACGTGCCTTTTGAAATGCTAAGATCTCTAAAATTTTGAACAGCGACTATAAACAGTGGCTGAACTCCTCCCCTGGTGAACGTTTCTGAAAGTCAAGGCTGAATTCTTTGAAAATGTTCAGTGTGAGATTATGCTGCTGAAGTAAAAAAAATATATATATTGTAAGAGTTTTTACACATCTTTGCCAGAGATTTCAATGTCTCTGAAGGGTTCTGGTTTTGTTCAGACTATTTCAAATTTAGTTAAAATGTAGAGTTTTCCTATATTTTGTATATCCTAAATGCAATCTTAACCTTCCTGCTGGTGTCAGAGCGACACTGTGGATGTTTGTGCACGGGTGTCTTCATGTTTGTGTTTCTGGCCACTCATCTCCTGTGCATGTGTGATTTCTTTCCTAAAGATGGTTTACATTTTTCCAACCAACATGTTGCATCCAGCTGCCTTGATTGCTGCAAGCAGGTTGGCAAATATTTACACTAATTTCAGAAAGGTTTATTTTTCTATTTTAGATCCAAATCCAAACAAGACAGCATATGATTAGTATCCTAATCTTCAACAACAAAAAGCTGCTCTTAGTTTTGTTGTATTACTTTTACTTCCCAATAGATTTAATGTGTTGCACCTTAAACAAAATGTCCGTCCATCGCACAGTGATTGGTACTATATCGGATTAACTGTGTGTGAAATTATGAGTTATAAAACCACCTTTAGATATAAAAATACTTTTAAATTATAAGTTGTATTTAAATTACAAGTGTATGCAAATAGAAAAAACAAACATTTAAATGAAACTGGTAGCAAAAAGATGATCACATGCCCACTATGATCCAGAAAGTAGCATTTCTCCCTTAGCTAATAAGCAAAGGCAACATGTTTTTTTTGTTTCCCATTAAAAAGTCAAAAGCTGCTTCACTTCTTCTCCTCGGTGCCTCTTAAAAGCACAAACTTGTTCTAACCTGCTCTTGTAAAATACATAATTGTAGAGATTAGGACTTAAACAACCGGGTTTTTAGAGGGGGGTTGATTGATTAATGAGTATGGGCCTGCCTATCTCGAGCTTTGTGTTGCTGTGACTGGTTTGTAAACTGCCTTTGGCATTAAGCTATTAAGCTGGAGGATGATGTTTGACGCATAATGCAATAAAATGACTTTTCTTTCAGACTTAATGCTATTGACTTAAAAAATATAATTGCCTTCACTATGATTAGTAAATCAAGCCCTGCTGTGTGCAATTTGATCTCGGTATGAGTAGCGCTTTTATTTTTTGAAGGGTTCGAATTCTTCTGGGTACGCAACATTTGTGAACAAATAAAGCATCATAAAGAATCCCAGAGTCCCAGTCTGGGAGAGCATTAATCAGAGAAGCAGCCAAGAGGCCGAATATGTGGCAGCTCAGGAGCAAAACCTTGTAGGAAGCTTCAAAAGACTTCAGACTGGGGCAACAGATCACCTTACAGCAGGGCAAGAACCCTCCACACACACACCGAGTCAAATAGTTGTCTTCAAAATATATGCAAATACTAAAACTGCCCAGTCAAAGTCCAGATCCTCGTAAGATTTGTAGCATGACTTGAAAACACACACTGTGTATTCAGTCTGACTGGGCTGAAGCCGTTTTGCTAAGACGAATGGGTACAAATTTAACTGAAAACAAGTTGATGGAGTATAAATACTTTTCAAATGCACTTTTCCTCCATCTTGATTTTGATTGTGTGCTTGCAGTGCTGGGGATTTTTTTTTTTGTTTTGTTTTTTTTAATGTCGCCTAGGAAAATACAAGGATGATGCCTGAACTTGTGCAAGCAGATTTTACTGTAAAAGACCATCCTTATCTTTTGATTTACTTGGCAGAGTGATGCCAAATATCTAAAATGTTCATCAGATGGAACGTTGTTTAGTCAGTCAGTCAGTCAAACACCAGCAGATGTTTTGTGACTCTACCATCATTACCGCTTTTACTGAACATTCTTACGCAACCCTAGAGTTTCCATATTACCTTCATTAAAAGCTAAGAGATAAACACAGACATGTGTTTGCAATCAGCGCCTTCTTTCTTATTTCCTACATCGGGCTCTGTATGTTGGCCGTTAAGACATGTCGTGATAGAGCACTGTGGAGAGAAACCACACACTCCCTCTCTGCTCCAGATCCTTTTAGTGCTTTCCTTCATAACAAGGCTTTGTCCTTTTTCTAGCACATGAGGGAGGCCAGAATGTTTTATTTGTTGGTTAGTTGTTTTTCCTCTGCTCTGTTTAACTTTGCTCTGGGTCATGCGCGGTCTGTTTCACATTTCAGCAGGAGTACTTGGAAGGAATCCAATCAACATATGGAAATTCCCAAGAGTCTAATAAACTGGAAACCCATTTAGAGATCTGGTGTGGAAAGGACTCAGATTTATGTCAAGTAGTTACAGGACATTGTTAGCATGGAACACTGCAGTTATTCTTGAAGGTTTGAGTGGGAGAGAGGGGATTATGAATAGATCGGCTGCTCAGGATTACTTCTGGAGCTCCTTTTAGCTTTAAAGTTATTTTATATTAAAAAAAATGCAGTAGTGAATGAACTTGTTTTTCATTTCATGCTGTGGAACCAAATTTTGCTTGTGACAGCTGTCTCGCATTGTTTTGCTCTTTATCTTGTAGGTGTGGTGAGGCTGTTGAGAAGAACAAGTACTTAATCACATCAGACCAGAAGGAGTACCAGCAGGAGCTGAAGAAGAACTACAACCGCCTGAGAGAAAACCTGAGGCCCATGTTGGAGAGAAAGATTCCCGAGCTTTACAAACCCATCGTCAGGCCTCGGCTGGAGAACAGGTGAGCTAAGCAAGCGTTTTTTTATTTTTATTTTTTTAAATTTTTTATTTTTATTTGTAACAAAGGAATAAAGACAGACATTTTATTTCAAGAGTTTAATGTATTTTCACCAATAATGCCAACTTGTTGAGATTCTGCGTCAATACCAAATTACTTTCAAGCACAGCTTCAGTAAAGACTGCCACTCATTAGGTATTTTTAATCATCATGAGCTTAGTAGATCTTTCACTAAAATTCAGGTTGGTTTCTGTGCATGTCATTAAACAGCATCTATGAGACAGTTTCTCTAAGCAAACTGCCTGGTTTAAATGTGCTAAAATTAGAATATTCTCCTGATAAACATAAAAATGTGATTCCTCATTTTTCCCTCTGGCTGTATTTAGAGAAGTTAAAGAGAGGACATTTTCAAAAATAATAAAATAAACCTTTTGCAAGAAATGTATATTAGTATGGCCTTTCAATGAACTGATATTGCACAACTTTATAAATCCCATTATATTTGCTTTACTTTGTAATCCTTACTAATATTATTCCTTGTTGTATTCACATTTTTCATGTCTTTTCTGATCCATTGTCCAGGGACTCTTTCAAGCGTCTGAGTTTCCGCAGAACTCTGGAGGAAAACTCCTGAGGTGCCTCAGTTTGTTGGGAAGTGCTGCAGAAAGGAGAGGGAAATTGTCACAAAGTCTAAGGCATAAAAGAAGATGAGCTGAAAAGATCTGCTGGTGACACCTCGGAAAAAATGAGGAAAAAGGCGTGTCTACATGGAGGACTCAACTTTTATTTTCTGTTTTTTTTTTGTAAATTCAGCATTGTGCATACATATGCATGACCACTTTTGTAATGTTATGTATGCTGTATAAGAACAGAGCACAGAAAAAAGGGTAAATGGTTATCCTGAGCAAAGTGTAGCTTTTTAAATATTTCACTGTAAAATCAAGTCCTGATAATGCTGCAAACATTTTCTCCTGGTCAGCAAAGCTCTTTTACTGACCCAGTGTTCATACTGTGTATATTCTGTTAATTATTGTATCTTGTATGTATGTACATCTCTGAATGAACATGCTGATTTACATATGGCACAGAATAAGAGTTTTAGTGATCAACAGTTCTGGTTGGCACTACAGAACTTCTGGGTTTCTATGCATGGCATTTTTTTAGTTTAAGCAGCAATTATTTGAACTGGATGGATTATGCACTGGAGAAACATGTACAAATTTCTGCGTTTGCTTGTATCCTTGTCTTGCTTCCTTACTTCTGGACATCCAGCATTTAATGAACAAACAGGAGCAGGAAATCCTCTCTGAGGTCTAAACTGCAGTTCGCAGATGCATGAAAGCCACTTTTTTTTGTATATAGTTCCACTTACAAAAATTAAAAAGTGTTTTGCATTTTATTTGATAGCAATTTTTTTTGTGTATGTAGCAGTTCCAGTGCCAAATTTAAAGCGTTTCTTTGTATCTTAAATGAGAAACTTCAGAAGAATTGCAATATTTTTGAAAATCCAGCCAGCACAGGCTATGCTGAAATACTCTTTCTGTAAAGATTTGCAATACCTGCTTTTGAACAGGACATTTTGCTGATCTTATTTACATACATGACTGCTCAACCTGTTTTATGTTCTAGGTCACAATGTATTTAATGTAAATGTGTTTATTTTTCATAAATAGAAATACATTTCAAATACATTATCATTGCTCAGTTGATTGTATTTATTAGCTGTTAGATTTTTTTTAATGGCTTAGTAAAACAAAGTCATGGAACTTGCTGTATCAACTAAGTATTAAAGTGCATTTCTATTTTTGAACTAATCTAAATGTGTGTTGTAAGATAAATTTGTGGCATTCAAATCTGTTGTGTATTTGTTCATACTGTTTTACTAAATTAGGAACCTCTGTTAAGCACAATCCTTATGCAGAAAGTTAATAAATTTAACATATGCATATTTATTTTCTTTCTATAATGTCCAGTTTGTTGGTATAAAAGCATTTTGAGTTCTGCACTAAAAATTACTCTAGATCAAATGTTTTAGTGTTATAAAAAAACACAGTATTAAAAGGAGCATGACCTACTACAAAATACATCAGTAAATAATTTAAGTGTATCAAGTTGATTGAAACTAAGCAAATTAGCAATCATTTAATAAATATTGGCTATTGATGGCAAAAACAATTTTTAATATATATATTTTTTTCATTTTTATTTAATGATTGTAGCCTGTAGCACATAGTAAATGTATATTATTCTCAGATCTGGGGACATTTGTAGTTTTAGTTGGGCAATCAGGATTTTGTATTTGTGAAAAATATGTGAAAGCTGTCAGAAGCTGGACAGAAATATAATTGCATCACCTATCCAAACTCTTATGAATCCGTCATTGATTTTAGTTTTTTGTTTCAACTGATTATTTCCCAATTAAAAATAAAAATACTGACCTGATGCAATGCAAACAAATGAATATATGTTAAAACAAGATTTCTTTTGAGATTTGAATGATTTAGATGCGATTTTATATGTTTTTTGGGTATCCTTGAAGTGCTATGTAAGTTAGAACTACAAGACGAGACTTATGCCGTGGAACTACAAAATCTGCTGCTGTCGCTTTATGGTGACGACATCACTGCTGGACTTCGACAGGTTTGACTGCTCGGTAGTAGAAGTCTTGAACGATAAGCGCTTTCTTGTTGTTCTCTGCGGTATGTTAGCAGTTGTTTGCAAATTATTGCTGTGCACCCTTATGTAGAGGGGGAGCGAATAAAGCTTTAGAGTCTCAACAGTTCCAGTTCTGTGAACTTATGCCATAAATGACCGGTTTGTGATGTAAAGTTAGCTTTTTATCAGCAGGTAACTTCACTGTTTAGTCTCCACACAATCATATGTAGTTCCTGTTTTAGCCGTAATGCTGACAAAGACGTCTTTTGTGATTTTGTGCAAACCCTAACAAGGTAGCGTGTTTCGTTTTTATTTTTTATTTCCGCACATAAGCCATAAAGCTTGCGAACTTTTTCACGTATCTCGTCACGTTACAGCCACTATCTTTAATGCATTTTTAATGGGATTTTGTGTTGTCGGACATTGACAAACCCAAAGGGAAGTATTTCGAGAAGTAGAGGTTGAATAATATGTAGTTTTTGAAACGTTTTCACATTACAATCTGAAAGGTGTGGTGTGCATTTTTTTATTCAACCCCCTAGTCAAGTTCGGTGCCCCTGTTATGCATATTTTAGGCGTTTCCTATCTTCCAAACAATCGCCTTAATTGAATGGGTGATTAACAGGCTTCTGCGGCATTTATTAGAGGTTTCGTAGTCATTTGAATAAGGTGTTCTGGGACAGAAACACATCTAAGACGTACAAGGCAGTGGTACCAGGTTTGGGAGTCACTGCCTACGGGATAATAATACATATTCTATTATATGGCAAATACTAACAATATTTGCCATAGATTTTTATTCCAGAACTAATTATTGGTCAGAAATGTTAAAAAAAGTGCCTTAATAAAGAGTTAGTAGTTTTAAATCCAACAGAAAACAAAGATGGTGAGATTATTTTTTATGTAGTAAATGTCTATTATATATATATATATATATATATATATATATATATAATTTTTTGTGTGAATATGCATTCACCCATCTACTTTAGCTGGTGTGACATGTGAATTTTAGCACTGTGAAACAATAAAGGGTATTCTTTTCTATTATATCCATTTATAAATCAAACCTTATTTCACTAGTTTAGAGGTGCCCAACTCCAGTCATACAGAGCTACTATCCTTGAACCTTTAGATGCATCTCTTCTTTTAAACATCTGAACCAATGGCAGAATTACCTCATCAGTCTGTCAGCCTGTCATTTGACTCAGGAGAGGCCTGGTAATGATCCATTAAGATAGGTTAAAGATAGGTTATTTGGAGATGTAGACAATTTTTTTTTTTTTACAAAAACAGAAGCTTAATATGTCCACTGTGTTCTTATGTTCTGATTTAGCCAACTTCTGCTCCACCTTGACCTAATTTCTGTGACATGGAGCCAGATGGGGAGCTTAATCCGGACACAGACGACCTTCCTCTCAGAGCCAATACTAACCACATACTTGTCAGACATTACGTATTGGACCTAACCGTTTGTTTTGACAAGAAGATCATCAGTGGTAGTATTGTTCTGTTCCTTGAGCCTTGCTCTGCTGAGATGGCTAAAACTAAGGCTGATATTGGACCTGAAACTGGAGATGGTGCAAGGCAGGAACCCAATGAGGAAGGTACAAAGTTTGGAAGTGACACTCAGGGTTCAGATTTATTTCAGAGCTCCAATGCTGAGGATTTCACCTTAGTGCTGGACTGCTGTGACCTTGAAGTGTCAAAGGTGGAAGAGGTGGACACTGATTCTGTATCTGCGGCATTGGGTTTTCCCCTGACGGCTGCATCTGAAGATATTTCAGTGGACTCACAAGCAGGTTTTATTCAGCACCTTTTCTCCATGCCCTCTTCCCATTGGAAGGAAAAGCATCGGCTCTTTTCACTGTGCAGCCGGAGCCCTGGCATCCAGAAGGGCAACTCGCTTCACTTTCACACAGATCGCTGGAGTTTGCAGGTGAAAAAAATGGGGGTCACAACTTCGCAGGACTTCCCCCGTATTATTAGGATCTACTACATGACAAGAACACTGGGAGGCTCAGTGAGGTGGACCAAGGACCAGGACAACAGGTTTGCTTCTGTGCTTCTTAAATCGCATTCTAACACAACCATGTTAAAGATGATATTATTCATTCATTAATTCACGAAACAAAAAAACCCCACCTCAGGCAGTTTGCAAACTATCTTCTTCAGAGACGGGAGGTTTTCATTGCTCGTGTGAGTTTTGTTGTCCTGAAAGGAGGTTTGTTTATAATTTACCTTTGTTTACCCTTCCAGGGAGTGTGTTTACACCGCCGGCTCTCCCATCAACAACCGGGCCCTCTTCCCCTGCCAGGAGCCTCCTGTTGCCATGTCAACGTGGCAGGCGAGGGTACGGGCCCCCAGTGACTGTGTGGTGTTGATGAGCGGGGAGGAGGAGGCTGTTCCAGCGGAGGACGGGGACACACGTAAGCTTTGAGACCCAGGAGAAGTCAAACTCATTTTAATAATCTGAAATGTTTGTTAATTGTGTGGTGAAATATGTCACTCCTTGCAGTCTCTTGCAAAAGTATTTGTTGAAGTTGTTTGGATCTGCATTATTGCAGATCCTTCCTCCCAGCAGCTAAAAGACAGCATGACCATGACTGCTCCCAATAAAATCAACAAGTCTTTATAGATTTAGATTTAGTTGATAAAAGCAGTTGAAGAACTCTTAGTGTTAGTGAAGAACCGTTAGTGACTTAAACAGATTTTTCAACCCTGTGCATGTTTTACAACCTGAAATTTCAAGATAAAACATGCACCTACATGGAATTTGTTTTTTTTTCCATCAACATCACAAACTATTCACATCCCCTAATGTGTATCATTTAATATTTTGAATGATGGCAGACGATTGAAAACGTGTAGCAAAATCTGAACTGAACATGTATTAAAAAAATGGTAAAATGAGCAAATGTTCATATGTTTGTACATTAGTTCTTTTATACTTTGTAACTGTGGATATTTTTGTTTATTGTACATCTTTAGATTTCCTCACCTGGAACTATTACGTCACAATGCCCATGCCTGCGTCCACTTTCACTTTGGCTGTGGGACACTGGTGCCGGGTTCCTACAGAGACTCCTTCAGCTCTGGAAAACGAGGTTGAAGGCGGGGTGGGCTGCAGCTGCCTCAAGGCTGAGCTTGTGTCAGAACTTGCAAAGTCTCCTGGTGAAGTAGTAAGAGGCGCTCCATGTCAGATTGACAGGTATTTTAATGGTTTTCCTGTGTCCTTTTCTTGTTGTAGGACCTCCTCTTCTCCAGACTGCTATTAACCCAAGTCTGGCCTTCAGCATTCCTTGTTGAAACTTTCCCTCTCACCAGACCAAAAATGGTTCAGTTGAAGTTAGGGTGATGGATAGTGTTCAGAACATAATTGGCTTTTTATGAGAAATGGGTTAAAGGTGGAGCTGCAGATCATTGCATTTGCTGGCTAGGGGAAATTATCTTTGGAGAGAAAAAAAAAAACAACTAAAGACATCATATTTTTTTATAGCAGTACAGGAAATAAAGTGTAGGTTGGAACCATTAGTCAGGTCCAATTCCCACTGTGCAGGGCAGGGCTGTGCCGGTGTTTCCCTCTCCACTGGCTGGCAGGTTGGCAAGTCTGCCAGTAGTTTCCAGTAATCCTCCGCCTCTACTCATGGTTTTTCCTCCAGTAAAAACGTAGCCATAGCACAGCGTCTGTACAAGGGACGTCTTTATGCTCATTGAATGGCTGGAAGGAAACTTGGCTGTAGCTCGGTACCAATGGAAAGTTCCTGAGTACGAGGACGGAGTAAGTGGTGAATATTGGGTTAGGGTGAATGAGATTGCATGTCAGCACTTAAATATTTTGACATATTTGTGGTTTGACTTCATGCAAAAGTATTCATACCCCTGACACTCTTCCCATACTTTGTCAAAATACCACACACTTAAATTCATCTTATTTTGAATTTATCTGAAAGACCATCACAAATTATAGCATAATTGCACAGTACAAGGAAAAAAAAAATGATATTCAAAATGTTTTTAAAATTAAAAATCTGAAAAGGCTGACATTCAGTTCTATTTGGCTCCCTTTGCTTTGACATTGCCACTTATAATCTAGAATAATCACTTGTTACTGGAAGTCATCTAATAAATGATGAAGCATTTGTAGTGGCAACATTACACTGTCTAACTCCTTGGCATCTCATTGAGTAGTCCATCACCAACAGTAGCTCTTTCCAAGAAGCAGCTCGGGTAGCAAAATGTGTTGACAAGACTAAATCTGAAAAAAAAAAAAAACAACAAAACAAAAAAAAAAAAAAAAAACGCAAGAAGTCCTGTTTACAGTTCACTAAAAGACATATTGGGACAAACTGATGGAAGAAACTTCTGGGGTTCGATGAGATGAGTATGAAACTTCTTGACCTTCTTATGGAACACTAAATGCAGGGAAAAATAAAACTACATTTGATCCTGAACACCACCCTCACAGTAAAACAGGGTGGTAGAGGCTTTACACTGTGAGAATACTTGATTTCAGCAAGGACTAAGACGCTTTCCTCAGTTATTGAGAAGATGGACGGAGCTAAATATAGGGCAATAATGCAAGGAAATCTGTTAGGTGCTGCAAAAGAATTTGAGTTTTGGCCGGGACACCAAAGATAAAGCTGCAGGGGAAAGGTTTGGATCGTGCCAATAGTCATGTGTTAGAATATTCCAGTCAAACCAGAAAGGTGGTTCTACAAAGTGATGATGACCCACAAGAGCTGAAATACAGATAACACCGTTCTGATTTTATTTTAAATAAAAAAAAAAATTTAAACCATATCTCTTTTTTTTCACTTTACAATGAATAACACACTTGTTTGTGTTGGTCTGTCAGATGAAATCCCAATGAAAACATTGATGTCTCTGGTTGTTATGTGATCACCTTTTAAAACTCTAAGTAGTATGAATACATTTGCAAGAGGCTGCAAGTGTTTCTTTAATTATTTTGAAAGAAAAATTCCACATAATGAGTTGCATCACTTCCAGATTTGTGTATACTTAAAATGATAAATCCAAAGAAACGGTTATTAATTTTTAAATTTTTTTTTTTCTCCGCCCTTTGTTTTTATCTACCTCAGCAGAGACAAGGCCACCAACTCAGACTCTGCATTCTGTCACTCTTCCCTTGGGCATAAGGAGCTCTCTTTAACTGATTATTCAGGCATGGAAGATGACGGCATCTCTTGTTCCCATGGCGACTACCCTTGTCGGTTTACTGAACGGTCTGCTTGGTCCCAGCGGGTGGTTCCACACCGTGTATTTAGCCCTGCCTGCCTGCTCCAGAAGGCCCAGGTGGGGTTCTGACAACTCAGCTTTGAGACTTCGGCTAATTAGACTTTAAAAGATTAAGGTCTGTTACTGTTGGTTAATGTTTATGTCAGAGTGTCATGTGTTTTTTTTTTTTTTTTTTACTTTTATCCCATCAGCACAAATGTTACTCATTTAACACATTAATTTGAAACATTCTTCTCGTACACAAATCAGTGGAGCTGACTTGACACAATGTTTTACAAAACTTAAGTAAAAGGCGGTGGTGAAGAAGTACAGCATATTTGCAAGCTTTTTGCATATCTCATGTATCATTTTGTTAACACAATTAAGACTGAGAGAAGCTTGGGTTTGAATGTATTTTTTGTTGTTGTTGTTTTGCTCCTATGGTTAACGTAATTTGTGTTTTTTGGCAGATGGGAATCCTCAAGCTGCTGCCTCGATGCTTGGCTGCAGCCCATGCTGTTCTAGGAGTTCACCCTTTTCCCCGTCTTGACGTCCTCATCGTCCCAGCAGGGTTCTCCAGTCTTGGCATGGCCAGGTATTCACTTGTCTGTCTTTGATTAGACAAAGAGAAATGGCAGAAATTTAACATGAGCAGGTAGTACGCTGGTATATGAGGTTGATTGTATTGGTTTCATTCCTACACCGTCATTATTTTCGAGTTATGGATACGAATGAAACTGAGAAAAACTGTATGGAAACCAGACCAGAGTTTTATTCTTTTCCTTTCAAACCTTTGTTTCTTTCCTTCTCTCATTTCTTGTTCCTTCATTCCTTCTTTGCTTTCTGTTCGTATTGCTATCCCACCTTGTGTCTTTCGTGCCATCCTTGTCGGACCTTTCTTCTTCGTGACCTGAATCTTGTTTTTTGTGTTCTTCCTCTTTTCCTCTTATCATTCCTTCATTGTATGTTGCATTCTTCCTAAGTTGCCATTCTTTTTTGTTGAATTTCTTCCGTGCCCCTCATTTTTCCATTTATCTTTTCCTTTTTCTTTTTAAACTTGTTGCTTAACTGATAAAACAGAAAACTGACAGAATTTAACGAACTGTACATTTCCTGCCAAAAGGACTGGTTAAATATCAGACAGAACTCAACTAAAACTAGTTAATGCTTATAAACAGTACATGGCTTCTCTGTTAGGGGACTTTTACTCGTATTACTGCAGGTGTTTAAGCCTGTATGCATTGTTTATAACCCATTGTCTACAGGATAAAATCTACACCAAATTATAATTGGTTTATATATATATTTTTTGTCACCTTTTATTCAAGTTTTATTTCACTTGTATCCATGTCACTGGTAAGTAAATAGAAACTTCCAACCACCAATGTATCTGCACATGAAATTACAGACTCTGAAGCCAAGGGGAAATAAAGGTTTCCAGTAATCTTTTGCATCCTTGTTATTAGTTGTGCAGAAAGAAACGCGGCAGAGCTCCTTGACAGAAGGGGAATCTCAAAGCCAAACCACTAAGCTTGCTTAATATGGCCACTGTGTTCCTTTAAGAACTGATAAAAAAAAATAAAAAAAATCACAATTCTACTAAAGTCTTTTACGTTAATTTTTTTTAAGTTGTTTTGGGACTTTGGAAAAGCAGAACTTTATCTGCTGAGATCGTCGTATTATCCTTAAAGTTAGCCTTTGTTCGGCAGACACAGGCTAATGTTGTCAGACAAGAGTTTGAATTGTGATGTTGTCGACTAATATAGATATAATCTCAAGTGACTCTTTTTTTTTTTTTTTTTGGCCTTCATTGATTCCTGAGGGGAATATCTGACTCATAACTGCTCAGTGCTACAGAATGTTTACCAGCTATTAACAAAATGGTTTGCTAAATAGTGCATGGTGGTTTGTTTACAGGGGGATTTTATGGCCTTTTTTTTTTTTTTTTTTTTAACTGAACGCCACTACCTTCAGCATTTGTAAACAGCTGTGATAAAAGCAGGAAGAGTGAACCTTAACGGCTAAGTTGCTGTGTGAGTTCGGTGAGCTAAAAGATACTGAAAATGCTCTTCATCAGGGATTTGTGGAGGTGGCAATTATCTGGGTGCATTAACTGAGACCTTTCACAGTGCATGTGGTTATTTTATCTGCTGCTGAAATATGGATTTATTTATTTATTTATTGGCAGTTCTTTAGTTTAGCTAATTATTTTTATTTTATTTAAAGTAAAAAAAAACACTTTTTTCACTACTAGATTCTACACTTTATTTTGCATACAATATACACATCCTGGTGCTTGTTTTAAACTTACTTTGTGCTGAGTTTTTCCTCTAAAAATCTCCAGACACATATTGTCACATTAATTTTCAAACTCTTTTTTTTTTTTTTTTTACACTGTCTTACTCTGCTTAGTAGATATCCACCTCACTGAATGTCTTTCTGCATATGTCCTTTCTTAGATGTCATTTCCATTCCAACTTGCCACAGCTTCCAACTTGGTACTTCTGGCATACTGAGTGTGTTTACTGACAGAATATATATCTGCCATTTCACTTTTAAATTTAGGAGTCAGTGAATGTGACATTGTTACATAGGTGTATGTATAATTATTGTAAAAAAGTGTATCTGTGTTAGAAGCTGTCTTGATTTTAAGGTTTACTAACACTGTTTTCTTGAGGCAGTAGCAATATTTGGTTTTCCTGAGATTAAATTACATACACAGATGGACTCTGTTTAGCAGACTTCATATATCAGTTCCTTATACTGGATTATATTTATATACATTAGAGTGAGGAAAGGTGGATTAAAATGTACCCCATACTTTGAATTGTATGAGTAAAAATAAAAAAAAAATACTATGCATCATTTGTCCTCCACTTAACAAGTATTCACCAGCTTGGGTTGTTTTGTCTTATAAAATTCCAGTAAAATGTGCAAAGGTACATTTTACCAAGAGAAACTTTATTTTCTTATTTTATTTATTGTACTATTTTTCACTATTTTTGTTTAACTTGTACACTTGATATGTCCATTTGGTATTTTTTTCCACTAAAGCATTGGTCCTCTCAATGCTCATTTCTGCACAACTTATTTCTGTTTAAGCTTGAAGTTTTACTTCTTGTTTCTGTCTGCAATTCTTTAAGCCAAAAATCCCTGTACACCAGACCCCGACGTTTTGTTTAGTGTTGAAGTGGTTTGGAAGCTGATCAATCGCTGTAGACGTTTCCACCCTGTATGTTTACCCTCATCTTATCATTATTCTTTGCTTTGTTTTGCCGTCTTTTTTTTTGTTTGAAAACCATCACTGCCTTTCTCATATCCCTGTCTCTTTGCCCTTCACCAGTGTTGCTTTCATTTTTCCACTTTTCATCATGTTAGGAGATGAAAAGTGGACCTTCATGATATCCCATTTTCCATTCTGTTTCCTTCACTTCTATATATAACCAATAACTTCTTAATCTAGCCTCCAGCATTCCGACAACAGTGTCAGTTTTTCTGGAAATCACATCTTTCTTTTCAACACAACTGTTTCTGCTTGTGTTTGGCCTCCGTGTGGATGCAATTAAAGGCTTGTTAATCAAGATAATTTGAAAATTGATGCAAAATAAATGCCCTTGATGCCTGGCCTTTTTATTTTAAATGTTACTGATAAAGCGGTGTAATTAGAGAGGCCTATTAAACATCCCAGTGTCTGTGGTCTGCACCACAGTCTTTCATTTTTTCCTCCATCTGCCTTTCTCTTTCTCGCATGTTGGTCTCCCTCGAGAAAAAGTGTCCCAGACAGGATATGAGCTCAGACCAGAATTTGTGTTCTGCTTTTCTGACGTCATGGCTAAAAGTGGTCTTTGTCAGAGATATTTTGAACGAAAGAGGGCGAACTCAGTTACAGTCTGGGCATCGTTTTCAACCAAAATACAGTGTTTCCTTTGATCAAAGTAAACCTTTTCCCAGTGTTGCGAAAACTTGCCTCCGCTATGTTTGCTTTGAATGAACTTCAAGTGCTGACACAGGGGCTGCTGTCTGACGGATGTTTTCGTTTCCTTAGGCGGAGGGCTCCCAAGCAGTTCTCCTTCTTTCCTTAGCTCGGTAGGCCGCTTTTCGCTGCAGATGACCAAGAAGAGATTTAGGGCCTTCATTAAGCTTAGCATAGCACCTGCACTGACCCCCTATAAAACTGTTCACGGTTCTGAGTCCAATGTGAGCTCGACTGTATCCACCCTTCAACACTGGTGGCTCAGTTCTGGATACCAGTGCACAAAACTGCAGGGCTGTGCCATGGGAAGGCTGGGAGGTCAACTGAAATTGAAGGGTAGATTAAGACGGAGATGAGAGAGGGAAATTAAGAGGGCAAAGGCGGGGTTCACAACAGGCCAGCGGATCCCCAGGATGTGGGAGAGGATGTGTGGATTATTCCCAGCAACAAAAGCCATTAGCCCCTGGAAGGACTTCAGAGGCTGGTGCTATTTAATCTAGAGATTGGAAGGTATGTGGGCCCCAATTGTTGGGATGGAGCCAAGTGCTGTTTTTCTGTGCAGTGCCCCAGTGGAAACAGCAGGAATGGAGGGGGGCTTTGTGGCCTGAGAGCTGCAGCAAGAAGGCACAAAGCTGTTGCAGCGTGATACATGGAAGGAAAACAGTGCCAAAGGAGGGGCAGGAGTCACAGTGGCGTGAAGTTTTTGGGCTGAGATACGTGAGGAAGGCAAGTAAACCGAAGATTAAGAAGTCGGGTAAGGACATGTATGTGTTCAAGAGCTGGGCCGGAAGTGCTGTCCACCCACGAGTTGTTTTCATTCACGCAAAGATACCTAAACTTATGCAACTTCACAAGATTGTGCAGCTAAGCTCCAAGCTTATGATGGAAGCACCAACGTCTTACCTCTTTTCATGCTATAGTGTCATACAAAGTTCACATCCCTTAAACTTTGTCATGTTTTGTAATTTTGGGAGTTGAAAAGTGACTCCTTGTAGAGCCACCATTCACTGCAATGATTTTTTTCCCCTCTCCCTTGTTTTACACATCTAGTGAGTGAAATTTTTGCTTCTTCTTATAGCTCAGACTCTGGTAGGTAAAATAAAATAAATAAAAAAATCCCCTTCTCACCCTCCGCGGGTGGTCTCTTTCATC